TTGCACCTTGTTTGAGACAGCATCTCTTTATTGTTTGACAGTATGTACTGAAGACTAGCGGAGTCATGAACCTCTTAGGATTCTGCAGTCTGACTAATATCTCTCCCAGGAGTTACAAATGCCTCCGCTCAATGTCAGGCTTTAAGTATTCTGAACACTTGAACTCAGATCTTCATGCTTGCATGGCAAGTGGTGTTGCCCACTGAGCCATCTCCACAGCCACATGCTCATATTCCTTCTAATGTTTCAAAACTTATTTATTTATTGTGTGTGGGTGCATGTGTGCATATGCACGCCACAGGATGCATATGGAGATTAGAGCGACAACCTGCAGAAGTCTCACTTTCTACCATGTGGGTTCCTGGGATTGAACTCAGGTCCTCAGGATTGGTGGAAAGTGCTTTTATTTGCTGAGCCATCTTACCAGTCTTCATATTCTTAATATTAACTGAGTCATATTTTAAAAGGTAAAGTATTCTACAATAGCATGCACTATCTTTTGTTAAAATGTTATAAAAGTAGAATACAAAAACATTTTTTTAATCACTAAAAATTTTAACAGAGAGGAGAAAGTCAAGAAGAGATGACGTCTGTTTATTTAGCATATTTGGGAAGATTCAGAAAAACATGTAATTTTCCCAGAACTGTTGATTTTGTAATGGTGTTTAATCTAAACTGCACATTGGAAGACTGTACAACTCAAAACAGTCCTTATGACGGCATGAGCGTGCTGTGTCAGCGTGTGGCTGTGCTGGGTGTCCTTACACCAGCTGTATTAGTTAGTTTTCAATTTTGTTGTCATTGCTGCTTGGACATTTTCATTTTCTTGGTTCAAAGCAAAACCCTACATTTACCAACATAAAGACTTGTACATATTATCAGATTGAAAACAACATTGTAAATAATCAGAAAATATAGAGAATGCTACTTAATAACAACCATCTAATACTACATTTAGTATATTCTAAGGAAGGATTTGTAAACATGAAGGTTTTACTTGATTGAACATACTCATACACATTTTCAAACTTGTATTTAAAGATAAAGAAAGCCCTCAGGGAAGGGGAGATTATTTTATTTTTATTTATTAGACATTGCATACATATTTACAGTTTCTACAACATATCTGAATATGTTAACTTGTATTTGTCTTAAATATACCAATTTGATGTATGTTGTGATTTCTTAGATATGGGAGTGGAACATTAATCAAATAAATCTGCAATATCATCTAGGACTTCATATACATAACTTAAACAAGTAATCATCTATCTAAATACAAATCAAATAAAAAGCAGAATTCTTTAAATATATTTACTAAGTTCATTTGTTTTAGGGTTTTATTTAATTAATAGTTATAAGTTAGAAATTTCATGAAACTTAAACTTAGGTCAACCTAGTATTTATGTTTTGGTTTTAATTAAACAAACAAGAAAAGAAGAAAGAGTTGATTTTCAAACCTCCTTTAAAATCTCATGGGAAGGGAGCTTTGTTAACTTGTAAGTTTGATCTAAGCAGTGCACCCATACTCATTCATGTTTCTGGGCTTGTGATCTGCAAGATCACTTCAGAGATGATGGTCATGTGGGAATGGTTTCCTCCACATTTCCAGGCAGTGATCCAGTCAGTAACTGCATACAGCTTGCTGTGATTTTTACTCTAGAAGATCGATAGTGGTTTGCCCATGTGGTTATTGAATGAATTCTAGACTGTTCTGAAACCAGTGATGAGATAATCATGATATATTAGTGATATCTGGGAAAAGGGAAGCTTTATCATGATCAACCAACTGCACAGCTGAAGTCTCCTGCCATTCTATAACACTTGCAGATGACAACTTACATAGAGGAAGCCATATTTCAGAAAGCGATTTGTGCATTGATCATTGGTCTTGCCTTCCTAACTGCATTTTAAGTTCCTTGCTGGAGTTAGAGGGCTTTGGGCTTTCTTTTGTTTCCTGTAGTCTCTGGGAAAGAATAACTAAATGTATACCTTTATAATAAATCAGTTTAACTTGTCAGACTCTGTGGCAGATGTATATCCATTTCATCTACATTATTTTTAAAAATAAATCATTTTATTTTGAAAAAATTATACATATGTATGACAGGAGACTAAAGCATCACAGAAGTATTTTACAAAGTCCAGCATTCTCCTGCCGTGTGTTGCCAGTGTCTCATTCTGTGCAGAGCCAGGTATCTTTAATTATTTCTTCAGCAGCCTCTGGACAGATTTCATGGACAGACAAACTCTTTGTAGCTGTTGGTTCTGAGATCTGTGAAACGAATAGAATGCTAATAAAAATACTTGAAATAAAGCCATTCTGCCTGTTATTTAATAAGAATCTAATATGTATTTTCATATCATTATTCCTAAGTAATGCACATTAGCAAAATTTTTATCATATCTATGGTATATTAGATTTCATAAGTGATAAAGGAATGTGGGCAGGTTATATGCAAACATTGCACAAGAAGATACAAAGAACTTGCACATCTCTCAATTTTGGATCCATAGGGGTTCCTGGAACACCTCTTATGGCACTAAGACATAATACTTGTACTAATGCATTTATGGAAATGAAATGATATATATTCACACATACACAAATTATTTTCTAATGTGTAAGAAAGCTTATCTCTACTTAGCTTTACATTTTATTAAATTGGTATTTTTATGAGATTGCTTCTTAGTAACTTGTGCAGACCTAAATCCAATCAGAAAGTAGTTGTTACCCCCATAATATTTCTGCCAGTATTAAGCATATCTTGCTGCACTGGTGATTATTATAGATCATAGGATTCACAGCTGGGTAAAGTTATGATGAACTTTCCCCCCCAGAAGCTACATTGCACTACCTGCAAGCTAACTAGAAGGAAAAAAATCTTCCAGGTCAGACTTAACTTGATTTTTCCATGTTCTATGACAAGTGTATGTGAAGTCTTCAGAAACAAGGTCTTACAATCAAGTTCTAGTGGGCAGAAAGAACAATGACAATAGATTGTATTGTTTTAGGGAGCCTCTGGAACACCCCTGGCCAACAACTCTAGGGCAGTTATTCCATAGATGGCAAGGGGCTTTCGATGGGGCAAGTTATGGCTTTTAGGAGGAACATTAACCCCAAGTTGACTACGTAGATCTAGATCTGAAGGTAAGGTCTAAATATGAGAGAGAACACAGGACATTTGTCTTTGGGGGATCTAGCTTACCTTAGTTGGCATAATGTTTTCTCTAGTTCCATCTAGTTACCTGAAATTTTCATAATTTGAGTTTTCTTTACAGCTGAATAAAATTTCATTGTGTATATGAGCTATATTTCTATTATTCATTTCTCAGTTGATGAACATCTAGGCCATTTTGTATCTTAGCTATTGTGAATAGAGCAGCTATGAACATGGATTTGCACGTTTTGAAGTAGGAAATATCCCTTATGTTACCAGGAGTGAGCTAGCTAGGTCCTGTGGTAGATCTATTTCTAGTTTGGGGGGAAACCTTCACACTGATTTCCATAGTGGCTGTACCAGCTTGCAATCACACTAACAGTTCTGAGAATTAACCATTCCTCACATCCTTCCCTACACATGTTGGCTTGTTTTGTTAATTTATAGCCATTCTGACTGGGTAAGATGAAATCTCAAAGTACTTAATTTTTTTATTTATTTCATTTTTATTTTATATGTCTGAATGTTTTGCCTGCATGTATGTCACTGCACCACTTGTGACCAATGCCAGAAGGTGATGTTGGATTCCCTAGAGGAGTTACAGACAGGGGTTGTTAGCTTCCCTGTGGTTTCAGGGAACCCAGTCCTCATCCTCTGTAAGAGCAGACAGTGCTCTTAACTGTTGAACCATCTCTCCTGCCCTTCAAACTACTTTTAATTTGCATTTTCCTGATGGCTAAAAATGATGAACACTTTTTAATACTTTTTAGCTACTTGTTTTTCTTCCTCTGAGAACTCTCTGTTCATATGTTCATATGTCCATAGCCCATTTTTAATTAGGTTGTTTGATTTTTGATATTTAGTTTTTGGAGTTCTTTGCATATGCTAGACAGTAATCATCTGTCAGGTGAATAACAAGATTATTTTCCCATTTTGTAGACTACCTCTTCAGTTGATTAACAGTTTCTTTGCTTTTAAATTTCATCAAGTCCCACTTGTTGATGTTAGTCCTATTTCCTGAGCGACTAGAGTCAGATTCAGATAGTCCTTTCTAAGCCTATATCCTGAAGTCAGCTCCCTATTCTTTCTTCTACAAGTGTCATAGTTTCCGGTATCCATTATTACACATGTGGGCATCCAGCTTTTCCAACACCATTTGTTAAAAATGCTGTGTTTCTTCTGATGTGTATGCTTAGCATCTTTGTCACAAATCAGAAGGCTGTGTGTGGACTAATATCTGGATCTTCAGTTCTATTTCATTGATCAATCTATCTATGTGCCAATACCTTGCTGTTTTTACTACTATGGTTCTATAGAATAACTTAAAATCTAGAACAATAGGTCCAGCTATGTTTTTATTGTTCAGAATTGTTTTCACTATCTGTAGTCAATATTCTTTTATGAAGGAGGTGTTGAGGTGCATATATAAATAAAAGACCACTTCTACTAACATAAAATTTTTACCAAAATTTAGACTTGGACATAACTGATAGTGTTTGCCTAAATTTGGCACTTTGAAAGTAACTGTTATACAAATGTACCTTTAAAATTTACATCTGTTAGTATTATAAACTTTCAACCAGTCACATAATCCGTTTTCCAATAGTACAGGAAGATCATTTGAAATGAAAGGAAATACCAATGCTCAGACTCTAAGAGCACTTAACAGCCAAGACAAGAAATATTTAAATGCCGCCATGATAATAAACTGTCATACTACCAGCAAATAGATTTCTTGCTAATGGCAAGTGATTCTGCCTCCCATAGAAACAATAATGGCCATTCATTACCGTAAGCTAATTACAAAATCCAACTGCATTCTGCTTCTGTTCTCTTAAGGGAGATGCATCAACAATGCCTGGGTGTGTGATGGAGATATCGACTGTGAAGATCAATCTGATGAAGAAGACTGTGACAGTTTTTTGTGTGGACCGCCCAAGTACCCTTGTGCTAACGATACTTCTGTATGCCTGCAGCCAGAGGAACTCTGCAATGGGGAGAGGGACTGCCCAGATGGGTCTGATGAAGGCGACCTTTGCGGTATTGCCTTTTCATGTGTTTATGACTTTGCAGACATTAGAGCTGTTACCTACCACAGCACTCCTTCATTCCATTCACTTATTCCTCATGTAAATTTCTTTTAGAAATAGATTGTTTTATTTTGAGACCTTCATATATGAGTATTGCCTTTTCTTCTTTGCATTATTTCTACCCTTCCCAGTCCCCCTGGACTCCTTCCATCTCTTTCCACTAACTCAATTTAGTCCTCCTCGATTATGATTGCTACATGTCAAATGTAACATTTCAAATTAAACTTTATCTTCATATTATAATTACCAAATTACCAAAAAAAAAATTTAACTATGACCAGAAATGTCTAAAAACCGAAGCCCTAGACTACGCAGCTGTTTACCAGTTGCAAAGCTGCGTCCTCTTTAGATCACTAACTCCTCCTGAACAGCATTCCCACAGCTGAAGTGATTACTGTCAGTGAGTCACTCAGAAGACAGAAGCTTTCTTCCTGGAATTCATGTGGAGGATTTCCCACCACTGTGTGTGGGTTGAAATGCCTTCACATCATTATAAGAGAAATTGCCTTTTTCTTTGTTTTAGGAAAAAGGAATTAACTAGAGAATGAGATAAACTGAGTATTTCTCGAGGTGCTATAATGTTGTCTCTACGTTGTAGTCCTTATATAATAGCTGTCCTTAGTATATTTGAAATAGTCAATTCAGCTGGATTTAAAACTACTTTGACTAGCCATCTCCCTTATGTCAAACAACTTGTGTAAAGGAAAATTACATCTTCCCCTTCCTGGGAGATGAGAAATTTAACAAGGAGTGGTCTGCTTAAGGTATGCTTTCTAGATAATACTGAAGGTGTCACCAGCAGAGTAAAGAGTTCACAGCATGCTAAGAACAAGGAGATAACTGGAGTCTACAGGAAATGGCTAAGAAATGTGTGTGTTGACTGACCCAAAGAAGGAAAGCCTGTTGTTTAACCCCGAGGTGCCGTTTGTTCTCAATTGAGCATTAACAGTATAGGAATTATGTGAAGAGAACTGTCCCTCTTTTTAAAATAACATCCGGTAAGACACTTTCTTTCAAAGATTCTTTAATTTTATAAGACAATTTTGAAACAGATTAAAACAAAATAAAGCCTCAAACTAAAATTAAACAACAAAAACCTACAGCTAAAAGATGACAAGTTTTATTTTTCTGTGTTTACTTCTTTCTGCTATTAGAGCTTTTAAAGCAAAGCAGGGGCTCTGGCAGCAGAGGGACTAGGCTCTGCACCCCATCCTGCTATGCCGATCAAGATATAAGCGACAGGAAAGTAGAGACTGATCAAGTACAGCTTCATTAGGAAGAACACCACATAAAGGGTTCTATCAGCCAAGTACTGACAGAAACTTTAGGTTTGAATAGGGCATGGATTTGGGCAAGAGCAAAGACAGATGCCTAAGTAAGGAGTCTTCCTATTGAAACGGGGAGAAACAGCATCCAAGAGTGGTCCCCTAGACAGTTCTTAGTCTCATTCATAAAAGAATTTAAGAATGGACCCAAATGGAAGCTTTTACACTTTTACTAGAATTTTAAAGAAAATCCTTAGGACAGGTGGAATCTTGGCAGCTGCCTTGAAGAAGAAAATGGTGGGAATAGAAAGAAAGAAAGCCATCAAGCCATGCAGATTTAGAGCCTGCATGGAGGTCAGACATGTGGCTGACTGGTGGCCACATGGCTGGGAGAAGGAAGCTTTAGAGAAAAAGTAAAGAAATACAAGACATTGGGGCTGGAGAGGTGGCTGAGCAGTTAGGAACACTGGCTGTTCTTGCAGAAGACCTGGGTTCAAATCCCAGCACTTGGGAGGTCAGATATGTGGATGACTGGCAGTCACATGGCTGGGAGAAGGAAGATTTAGAGAAAAAATAAAGAAATACAAGATGCTAGGGGAAGCCCAAAACTTTGAAGAAAGCATGTTTAGAAAAGGGATGTGAAGAAGAAAAGGAGAAATTACACTTTTCTGAATTCTTCAGAAAAGCAGAAAGACTTATAGAGACTTACATGTCTGTTACTGGGTCAAGGACTTCTTCCCTAGGAAGCAGAATTCCAGGAAGGAAAAAATTCGCTACCTCATTAATGTACTAGGTATTCTGCTCATGTGTTTAGTAAAACTTAAGGTGAACCTGCCTTCCCAGGGGTGGTCCTATGACCAGATGATTGACTGGTGGAACTGGAAAGGTAGGTATTCCAAAGATAGACTAGAGATTTTTTAAAAGTCTTGACCAGTTAAAATTATAGGGCTATTTGCACAATAACACTATCATTGGCTTAGCTCATGTCTGCAAGGAGGTTCCACTCTGGAGTACAACCTCCCTCTCATGGAAAACCGTATCTGTCCTCTGAGGTTTTACTCAATGCAATGTGACTGCAGGTTTAGGACAAGGACTTATTTCTGTGTCTTTAGCCTAGAAGGGGGATGAGATTGGTCTGTCTCCTTTATTTGGGTCACTCCCTTAGTGATGGATCCACAGAGATGAACAGGTGACCCACAATAAAGGAGACAAAATACAAAGAGTTTTTATCTGGAGGGAGCATATAAAACTACATGGGTGGCATCACAGGCCATTTAAGATGCCCTGACATGAAGAGTTGGAACAATGACCCAAAACACAAAGACTTGCTTCCTATGCTTACACACAAGAAAAAAGAGAGCCCAAGACAGAAATGTCATAATCCATCCAGTGAAGACATAGACTTCCTACAAGGATTTGTAAATGATTTCAAGAGAAACAAATCTTTCTGCCTTCTGTTGGAAGCTGTCCTTGACAGGAAACATTGGCTGCAAATCAGAGCAGAGAACCCCAGAGTTGGGAGGGAAAGTCAGAGCTACTTAGTTGGATATGCACATTTCCAAGAGAAAGTTCTAGAAGACTGTTAGGTGTAGTAGAAGATTTCTGTCTCTAAGGAGCAAAGAATGCTATAAGCAGGAGGGCCAAGGGACTACCTGCCTATAACCAGGTTTGGATTAAAATTCAAAGTAAACTTTTCTTGTAGCACAGAACTTTTTTCAAGCAGGCACTTTAAGTGATCTGTAAATAGGACAGCCTTCTGGGTTTTTTTGTTTTTATTTTTGTTGTTTTTTTTTTTTTTTTCCTCAAGGCTTATAGGAAACACTCATGTGTGTGTTAGGGAGTGGTTGAAATTATTTTTTCTGATGGTATGTGTTGTTTATAAGTCAAGGCTGAAGTCTCATGTGTAGTGTGTAG